TGCCTTTGAAACGGCATTGTTGTAATCAAAATGCATGGTATTACTCTTTCATGTATGGTTGATACGTTTGTGTGTGTTTTCTGTATCGAGATTTTTTTCCTCTTCTTTTGGTGAATGTTTGTTTTGCTAATTTGGATAAGTTGATGTCGTTGAGTCCTAATTATTGCTTGTTGTTACATTGGCAATTTACGGGATGGGCAATATCTTCGACCATCAGATCCTGCCTATGAGCAAGTACTGGATTCCCTAGCTATGGTTGCTAGACATACCCCGGTACCACTTTTAGAAGCTCTTATAAAATGGAGAGAAAGGTGGGTTGTTCTATGTTCCCCCTCCTCTGAAGACGCGTTTCTCATTTCGGCCATTCTCTAGTTTATTGCTACCCAGATTTACAGTAATGTAAAGTCTAGAACTAGAAAATAAGTCGAGTTAATTTTGGTTTCTGCCGGTCGTTCATTTTGAAATAGTAAATGAATTTGCTTAGTGACAAAACATGCGTCTGTTGTACTATAGTATTCATTGTCTATCTCTGTGTGTGTGGTACGCGCACGTGTATTTGGTGCTTGCTTATGTTTTATGTTAGAGCCAAGGTAGGAATGAGACGGTAAGAACTGATTAAAGACAAATATTTCGTGATAGAAAATGGTAAAATTTTGACCTTTACCTTTTCTCTTCTAGTTTGAAGCGTCCTATTTCCTTGGAATCTAGTCACGTTTGTTTAATGCCTCCTCCTTTTCTCTCCCCAAGCATGGATGACAATGTCGTTATTTAGTTTTATCGAAATGTCTTAAGATGAGTCATCTTGTTTTCTTTTTTCAGTATGCAATATTGTTTATTTTGTTGCAGCGAATCCCCAATAGGTGCAAATGATGCGTCTACAGTCCAAAGGAAGGTTCGTGCCAAGTTTCTTTATATTTTTGTTTTAAAAAGCTGAGATAGGTGATTAGTAGCTTTTGCAGAAAACTTGTATCCCTTGTCAGAGAAATTTTCTTTATTCCGTGCAATTCATGTCAAGAACCACTAATTGTTACTTTTAAGTTCATTACCCTTTATCTGTGCACTTAGTTAATTGTTAGAAGTTTATGATTTGCTTACAGGTTTCACTTAAATCTTTTATCAGCAGTTTGTGCTTGAAAAAATCAACAGTTGGCCTAAAACGTTCCTCGTCTTAAATTTGTTCGACACCTAGATACAATAGTCCACACATTTAATTGACATGTTCGCATAAATCTCAGCTTGCAGTGGAGTGCATTTTTTGCTCAGCGTGTATTCGATTTGTGGAGTGCTGTCAACAGGAGGGACTTACTGGTTAGGTCATTGCATTGTCATGTTAGTTTTCTGTCATAATTTCCTCGTCCTGTAATTGAATTGTGCTTGTCTTCTTTGCAGAAAAGCTTTGGTCTGGACTTGAAAATTTTGTCTTTGATTGGTTAATCAATGCTGATAGGTAAGGTAAGGCCGGTTTATGGTGTCTGAACTATTATTTATGTCGTGAAAGTTTTGGCCATATGAACATAACTTGCTCTATTTGCAGGCTTGTTAGCCAAGTTGAATACCCATCCTTGGCTGATCTTCGGAGGCTTCTTTTGGATTTGGTTGCTCAACTCTTAGTTGCCTTATCTCGCATCAGGACTAAATCTAGCATTAGATTGGTGGTGATCATACTATTGCAGCGGGAAAAAAAAGTACTATGATTTCATTCATTGCTAGTTGGCAATCATCAAATTGAGGTTTTAATAATTACTTCTAAAATCCACGTTGAGTTCGGGTTTCTCTTTGTAATATTATGCTCTTAAAGCTAATCAACATCTTTATCATTTACTCCTCCAGGATGGTAAAAAGAAAATGTAAGTGATATATATGTTTGCAAGAATTATTCCTTTTTGAAATGATATATCAATGTGTGTATTTACGTGTTTGTGTGTAGATATCAATGTGTATATTTTGAAATGATATTTTTATTTGCTCATTTTTCTTGTGTTATGTGGTAAAATTGTTATTCCTTTCTAATCACGTGTTTTTATATTCAAGCAAAATCATGTGTGTTGATTGTTCTTTATTTGTGGTTCGATAATTAACTATCATTTGGCTTCCATTTCTTGGCATGAAATTTCTCAACAAATTTATCATATTTTCTTGCAGATTTTTGAGAACCCCGCCAAAATTGGTAATTATGATATTTGACTGCATTATCAGAGTCAAACTGAGTACCATAATATGTACAAGGAGTTCTATGACACCACTCTAAATGGTGCCATGGAGCAGATGTACAACGAAATGGCTTCTCGCCACATAGTCAGGTTCTCATGCATTCAGATTATCAAGACTGCAACTGCCCCTGCCAAGCTTTGCAAGAGAGAGAGCACAAAACAATTCCACAACTCGAAGATAAGTTTCCATTGGTGTACAAGAAGGTCAGGCCACCAACTAGGAAACTGAAGACCGTATACAAGGCATCAAGGCCCAACTTGTTTATGTAACTTTGTCATTTGACGATCAAGCTTTTAACTTGTTTATGGAATGTACATTTTTGCTCAACAAATTGATTACTCACTAATGCTTCTTTTAGTTGTAATTATATTGTGAATGAAGAAATAAAAAAAAAGAATTAATTATTATAAATTTATTGTTAAAAAACTCAAAATTATAACATTATGTTTTTTTAAGTTAAACAAGTATTTCTAAATACAAAAAATAATTATATATATTTAAGTTTCATACTATATCTATTTTGATCATTTTACATACCCACAACAATTCAACCTTAAAATTTATCAAACGCTTTTACACTGAATTCGGAACCAACACAGCTATTATAATTACAGTTTACCAAACACTCAACTACTTCTTGTAACAACTACTTCTTTCTTCAACACAGTTAAAAATAATTTTTTTAAAATTCACAGCATTATTAAACTAAGCCATTATTACCACAGTTTTAAAGTGGCAATTAAGAGCATATATATTCCTGTCAGAATGGTTAGATTCTTTCTTATGATTGTACATTATTGATGCTGTAAAAATATTTCCTTTTCAAAGGGATTTGACAAAACAAATTTCACCCATTTTCTTGGCAACCAATTTACTCATTGGGATCAAAAAGCTAAAACACACCCGTGTCAATTTCTTCCTTTTTGCTGTAGTTGTTTGCAGTGGGATTCTTGCTCTTTTTTTTTTCTTTTTTTTTTTTTTGCTCTGGGTTTCTTTCTTTACTTCTAGGGGTTTGATCGAATTGAGAAAAAATAGGAATTAAAAACGTTAGAAAAACGTCAATAACAAGTTTATTAATGTATTTACTAAAATACCTTTAAAATTGGCAACATGTACGTGCCACATGTCAATTTCTATCTATGATTTAACAGAGGAAAATTTGCAATATTTCTAAAATTCAAAAAGAACGAATATTACAAATTAAAATTCAGGAAACATTTTGTTATCCGAGTTAAAGTTTGGGGGGCATCCATGTAATTTGCCTTTTATTTATTTATTTCAAGGTGAGACTAGGTTGTTTGGTTGGAGAATTCGTCCCCTGATTCGAATCATGATTCGTAATTCGCTACAGTATTTTCTCTCACAAAAAATACACGTAAATCAAAAATAATTCTAATCACATGATTCTAATTCATAAACCAAACGTCTCAAGTTAGAAGGCCTTTATTGAATAGGAAAATACTTGCTTTGAGTTCTAAATATTTTGTCAGAAGCGTAGGTCTAGAAATATTGTGATTGATGACCCTTTAGACAGAGATGAATATTAGCTGAAAAATATTTTAATTACTTTGACAAATATTTTCTAATTATAATTAATGTGGGTTTATGCCTTTTTATTTTTCCTGAAAAGAATATATATTATTTTTTGTGTTAATGTGGAGTATATTAATAGGTTTTTATGAAATTTTAATACATGTAAATTTTGTAATAAATAAATTATAATTTAGTGAGGGTATTAATAAATTTAGTGGGTGCAAATATAATTACTCTAAGTTAATTAGGTAATTAGCTAAAGCCCTAAATAATTAAGACCCCAAAATAATTAATTTTCTTAATTACTTATATGTATTATCGTTTTTTTCCCATAAAACTTTAAAAAAAAAAGGGTTTTATAGGAGATATCAAAAGCCTTATTTATAGGAGAGAAAGAGATAATAGCCTTGATAGTGGCACCACTGATCATATGACCAATTGCTGCTTTTTTCCTTAAATAAAAAAAAAAAAAAAAAAAAAAAAAAAAAAAAAAAAAAACAACAACAACAACAACAACGGCTTTTTTTTTAATTGCTCACTTATAAATATAAGTGGCTAAAAGCCGCGCATTGCCGCGAAAAATACTGTTTTATTATATGAAAAATTTAGAATTTTTAAAGTATAAGATTAGTTTATATATACATAAATACATATAGATATATTTACATAATATTTTAGTTAAAAGTTTCTTAGTATGTATTATAGCTTTTATTTTCCTTTTTTTCTATTGTTCTTGTAACTGCAAAATACAAATTTTTAAAAAAATAATAATAATTAAGAAAGTTGAAAATATTTAATTATATGTAGTGTAAATTAAAAGATTTAAAAATAGTTATATTACATGGTTCTTAAGTGTTTTATGAATGGGTTTATTGCTTTGGTTCAAAACTGAAATAAAAAAATATTGTTAAAGTTATATATTCAAAATAAAAAGGTACAATTTATGATATGACAGGCAAATATGCTCTACCAGTAGGTAAAGTAAAATTATGGTTGACCATAAAGTTCATCAATTGTGAGCTTGGGTGTATCTAACCAAAGCAAGAGAAGAGCTGGATTAAACAAATGAATTAATGATTTCTCATAGAAATAATTATGGGCCCACAGTTGTTTAACTTTGAAAGTAAAAAAAGGTTTGGAATTATACAAAAAGTTTATAGTATAGATTTAGTTTATATATGCATATCTATATATAGATGTATCTAGATAATATTCTAATTAGAAGTTTCTTATAATGTATTAGAGCTTTTGTTTTCCTTAACAGTCCTAATATGAACATTGTAAGCTCTAATACAGTGGATAAATAGATATATCTAAGGTAAAATGAAGCCAAGCTAAGCTAATATGAACCTAAAAAATAAAAATAAATTTAAAAAAATTTACCTTGGCAACATCAAGAAGTTTAACAATAATTGCGGAGGAAAGAGACTCCAGAAGCAGAGACTCAGCGATACCTAATTCTCTATCTGAAGCGTTCTTCAAACTTGGAGGTTGAACGGCCGATAACCTAGATTAGTTCAATGAAACTCCATCAAAACCCAAATTATTAACTTAGCTTCAACATTTCGTGCCTCATTTCACAGGAAACCAATTCAAAAAAAAAAAGTTGTATTTGACCTTCATCCATCCCCGAAGTTATTTACCCCAACTTAAGCACTCTTTGATCTAGCTATAAATCACTCTGTTACATAATTGAAGACCTTAAATATGCATTCATATTGTGTCCTTCAATGTGCCTTAGGAAAGCCAAAGTTGATTATAATATTAATACACCAAACGACAAATCAAGCTCTTTCAATGCAACAATAATGCAAATAGCTTATGCATAAGATCAACACAAATAGAAATCTGTAGTCTCCCAAGAGCTTTTACCACTACCAACAATATTATAACTTACCATTACAACGACGACTTCAACACTTATACATACTTAAAACATCATTATCGTCCACAATATAATCAAACACAAGGAAATCAATCTTTCAAAACACATAAACTAACAAATAATATTTATCTCAGAAAGTAGTACTCTAACATCAAAACTAACCAAGATAGCTCATTAGATTCAATCCTATACTTCAAGACTAACCTTCAGAAATCCCTTTTCTTTGTACTAATTTTGGGAAACAAACCAAAATAGTGCAGCAATTGAATTACACTATAACTTTTCCTTGACTGTCATGGTGAACATAGAAAAGAATTAAATTTTTTCATGCTCTTAATGCAAAGTATTCTATCAAAACATTGAAAAGGGAAAAATAAAAGCAAGAAATAAATAATTCATGAGAAAATTAGAATTACATCATCTTAAAACATCATTATCCTCCACAATATAATCAAACATAGGCAAATCAGTCTTTAAAAACACATAAACTAACAAATAACATTTATCTCATAAAGTAGTAACATTCACCTTGCTTCATTGTTTTAATACCTTCGTCCCATCCCTTAATAATTTACCCTGCAATCCATCATAACATACAAACATCACCCTCATTAGCGGCACTCTATCTCAAAAAATTATCTCATCCTAATTAATGATAGGTTCTCGATAAGGATGTAAACTAAACAACCTCATTCTTTCTAATTCTGAAAAACATACGAAATGGCTTAAACTTAAGCAAGAATAAAACATGAAGCAGCACGATTTATAACCTCTACTTCCACTTTGTTGCACCACTTGTTCTAAGTAACATGAAGTTCCACATCAACAACTGACTAAAAAACCAACTTATATAATTATCTTGAAGGATTTAGTTTACTTACAGATGGGAAGTTTTCGTTGAAAACTTCCAGTTGATCAGTATAATACATGTAGGTGATCTGAATAAATATTTGATAACAGTGAACTTTCTTGTAGATACATAACACAAAGTATGAAAAGTGTCAAAATACCAACTTGAGAAATCAATTATGACCTTATCACTTTTAGAAAATTCCTCAAAATCAGACATACGGGCACTTTCAATACATCTTATCACATTGCGAAAAAGATGAACTATACCAAGCCGCAAGGTACGGGCACTTTCAATACATCTTATCACATTGCGAAAAAGATGAACTATACCAAGCCGCAAGGTAATAGAAGAGTTCTCAATTTTCACAGTGTAGCTAATGTTGCTTGCAGCATTTCAAGCACTTCAAACATAAATAAACACTTTGAATCGAGTAAATACTTTTCCTGATTTTTTTTTCCTTCTGATATGATAATAAGCCATAACAGAAATTGCAAATGAATATCTGCAGAATACATATACATTAAGAAGAATGGATTATATCATCACCTTAAAGTAAATCTTGAAGAGCTAGCAAGTCTGTATAATGCTCCAACGCATTTTGTGCCTTTTACTTAGAACATAATACCCCATTAACTCATTAACAGTAACAACTAAAGAAACTTAACCATTACACAAATTCAACTTCTTAATGCACAACTCACAATCATTGGCCAGAAAAAAATCATAATTGTCTAAGTCTTCAAAAATTTTATATCCATCTAGGTGCAATAAGCATAAACAAATAGCTTGTTCTTGTTAATTATGGCAAAAAAAAGATCAAATTAGAGATCAGGGTAGAGAAAAAGGAAGCATATACAAAGAAACAAAGCACAATGAGAGAAACATACAGCAAGAACGCGAAAGACTTTCATGAGGAAAGAACCACCAGCCTGCAAGTTCTTAGGTCTTCCATTTGAAGCCAATTCTCTATCAGCCTAACTAAAACCAAAACATCATTTGCTTAATTCCTTTTCCCAATCCTTCAAAATCCTAATTATAAAATCGAAAAAAGGAATTTTGAAGCTCACATTCTCCACAAGGATCCTAATTTCATAAGCAACGACACACAACACCTCCAATCCGAGATTCTCTACAAAAATGAAGCTTTTCGTGCAAGAAACAGAGGAAATAGCAAAAATCTCAGAATCATCTTAAAATAAAGAACAATTTTTTCATGCAAAATCATCAGAGACACAAAAAGAAACCTAAATTAAGCCTCATTCATGAATCATTACAACCGGAATGACAAAAAAAGGGATAAATTTCCACTCAATTACGACTTACAATTCAAAACATGAATTAATAGGGAGAGCAAACATTCATCTTGTAGAAAATTTCTAAGAAAATCAAATAGTTAAACTGAGAAAAGTTTAAATCTTTACCTGTGTAGGCGCGAGTTTTCCAAATACTCCTTGGATAGGAATTGGCAGATATCTTGAGTATAGAAAAGAAAACAAATAAACAAATAAATAAGCAAAACACCAACGTGAATGGGAATGAAATATTTGTAGAGAAAGATAATAAACAAAGAGAAGGTATTGAATAAAAGCACTTTTTTTTCTCTCTCTCCAATTTTGCCGGCAAATTATAACCTTAAAACCCCAAAAAAAGCCCAACAATAACTGCAAAAAATGTACAAAGTTTATGTACCTTATTATCATGAAAAAACTCCGAAACGTCCAAATTTCAACGGCAAATGCGATTAAAGAACTGAAACCCAAACCAACTCCAAAACTCTGTTAAAAAAAACAATAATCAAAGGAGAAAACCCTAAATTACAATTATCAATTACAAAAATTAACAAAAAGAAACAATATATTAAACGCCAACAGCTAGAGAAGGAGAAATCTTTGAGAGCTTCTGCGTAACAGCCAAAGAGAAGAGGCGGACCAATCATCAATTACAAAAATTAACAAAAAAAATTGAAAAATCTTTGAGGGAATTCAGTCTTATATATAGAACAAAAACCATCAAACCCTAATTAAAGAATCTTGTGCTATCAATTATACATAGATATGAATATAATTGACTAATTATAAACACATATATATTCGGAATAATATTAAAATTAAAAAAAAAATGAAACTATTCATGAGACGAAATCCAATGAATTACTGTTCTCGCCAAGTCAAGCCAGTACAAATCAGAGAAAACCCAATCTAAAATAATAGACATGAAACCACAACTATTTTCATAAACGACGGAAGAACCAAAACAAAGATTGAAAACTTACCTCGTGGTTCCCATTTGGTTGCTTCTGAAACCAATTGATGTTCAAAACCTTTATAAAAATAAACAAACCCAAAATTAGAAATCAAAAGCAAGAGTCGTAGCAGTAGTGTTGTCGTTAGTTCCAGTGGTGGCACGTTTTCTGGTGATGGCGGCGGGTTTGGGAGCGCTGAGTGTGGCGGAGATTTTGTGGGAGCAGAAATCCCTAAGAGTGGGTGGTGGAGGAGACGATGGCGGTACTGGAAGTTTTGCTGTTGCAAGGAGAAAAAAAATCGAGAAGGGAAGCATTTTTTACGGAAAGGAAAAGAAAGGACCAGAAACTTTCCATATGGGTAGGAAAAAGACGAAAAAGCCCACACAAAAGCGAAAAAACAAAAGAGAGAGCAAGGGCAAAACGGTTTTAAAAAACGTGCATTGTACAATGAATAGTGATCCGTGAGTGTGTGAACAGTGCAATTACAATACAAATATATCATAGAAAGTAAATAAGCAGAGCAAAATATTGATTTGTCTAAAAATTACCAGGTGAGTTAAAACAGAGGAAAAAACAATGACTTTAGTATATGCATAAAACAGTAAGAAAGAAAAAACCAAGTGTAAAAGGGGATCGAGCAAAAAAGGAGTAGGGAAAATAGGAAATATAAGAAAATGAAAAAGTAGAAGGTAAGATTGCATTTGCATCAAATGGCCAGTTATCCAAATCCAAGGACAAAAGAGGCCGTTACAATGCCAAAGCAAAAGAGTACATCGATATGTTGAACTCAAAAAAATACTAAAAATTTTCCAATACAAGTGCCAAAACAGTGCAATGACAGCCCAAATACCAATGCAAGTGGCAAAACAGTGCAATGACAACCCAAATACTAAGAAGATGAAGAAGTTCATGCTCAGATATGGAAAAAGGTAGGGGAAAATAAGGTAAATCCGTTCTCCCACTATACAATCTTAGTACTTTAAATTAGAATCAATAGTGGGAAGTTCAAATATAATGGTTCAATTTTAAAAGGCAAAAAAATTGAGAGAAGCAAAGGAAAAATAGCAGCCGCTGAAAATGAGTGAAAATTAGGCGCAAAGAGGAGCAGTAAAATATAATGTTTCAGTTTTAAATGTTAAAAAGATAAGAACAATTGAATAAAAAAATTAAAAGTGAGTAATAGAAAGAAAAAGGTAACCTATTTGTAAATAACTTCTGAATAAAATAGTAGAGCCAAAAGGGCAGAAACAGTAAATTAAGGAAAAGGAAAAAAAAAAAGGAGAGAAGCAGAAGCTTTGATTAAGAAAATATTGACAAATCCGGAATCCAAATAAAAAGGGCACACTCTTTTTGGACAAATCATATAATACTCAATGGGTCAAAATCATTTATAATCATCATCGCCATTAAAAAAAAACAACAAAGGAAAAAAGGGTTAAATAAAACTGAAATATGTTAGGTAAAAATATACATATAAATATCTCATTAAGAAATGAACAATTTTAAAGCTAACACAACTAAGGACTATACACTGATTATATAGAGAGAAAGAGAAGAAGGAAATAATCATAGATTAACAACATTTACTAATAATAAAGAAAAAATTTTATCAACTTCTTATAAAGAGAAACTTTTATGAAATTCTTAGAGCAGCAATGTTCATTCATTAAGTGACAAAGTTATATGTAAACAGAATTAACAAAACAAAACTGGCATATTAATAATAGTATAGGTAGATAATATATTGAATACCATTAAAAAGCATACGCAAAAGCATTGACTAAGAATATATTAACAAATTCGGAATCCAAATAAAAAAGGTACAGTCACAGCAATTTTTGAATGATCAAAATCATTTATGATCACCATTGCCATTAAAAAAAAGAACAACAAAAAAGGAAAAAAGAATCAACTAAGACTAAAACATGTGAGGTCAAAATATACATCTAAATATCTCACTATGCTATTATTAGGAATACCTGAAGTGCTATAACAGTGCTCTCAGTATAAGATATCAACCAATCAGGGCCAACACAGGTACTCAAAAATAGAAGGATGATAAAACATAGCAGACAACCAACTCAAGGAGTAAATGAAGATAGGTCAGATAGAAAGGGAAAAAGGTCAAGTGAAAAAACAGAGCAGTAAATCATCGACAATGGACCAAAGCAGTAAATGAGCACAGGTGAGATAGAAAGGGAATAACGTCAAGTGCAAGGAAAAGGAGCAAGAACACAGATAACAAATTCACATAGAGCAGTAACATATATAAATAAAGAATAAAAATGTTAAGATGAACAGTAAATAGCCTCTAATTACATTACACGTAATAGAGGATTGTCGGTTAAGAAAAAGTAAGAGCTCAAAATTTTCTTATTAGCTGATAAAAAAATATTGTATTTAGAATTAAAAAAGAAGAAAAATAAGTGAAAAAAAGGCAACATGACTCCCACAGTAATTATCTCACGGTGAGAAAGAATAAAAAGAAATGGTAACATGACAAAGCAAAAAATTGAAAATTTTTTTTTCTTCTAAAATTCCAGCCTGTTTCAGATAATGCAAGAAGAAGAAATTATTAGTTCATTTAATACATTTGCTGCAAGATATGTACAAATTACCGTCCTGGGAACACAAATTAGCAACACAAATACTACAGCTTAGTAATTTAATACAATGAGAAGCAAAAAAATCAGGATTCACATACATATGGCATGCAACCGGCGAGGCAGATAAAAAATTCCTGCAGAAAAAAATACATGAAATCAGAAAGATAGAAGGACAATTTAATAAATCAGAGGCAAAAAAATCAGGATTTATATACATCCCACGTGCAACCAACAAGAGAGACCAAAAAATCCCGCACAAAAGAAAAAAAATTTGAAATCAGAAAAAAAAACCTTCTAAAAAGAATTATAACAAAATCAAATCTATTACTCAATAAGAAATTGCAATACACATATTCTTACAGATTCTTATGACTCCCCGAAAAAAGCAACATAACTCCAACAATAATCATCTTACGTAGAGAAAGAAATGCAAGAAATTTTTTTCCTCTAAAATTCCATCCTGTTTCAGACAATGTAAGAAGAAAAAATACCAATTCCAGCAATACAAACACCAGAGGTCAGCAATAATCAGAAAAAATAAAGCTTCTAAAAAGAATTATAGCAAAATTAAATGTATTACTCAATAGGAAATTACACTACATGTACTGTTATGAAACCCCAAAAAATTAAACGAAATAGGCAAAAAAAAAAAAAGGAAAAAAAAACAACGAAAAAAAGGGAAAAAAAATGAAAACGAAGAGTGAAAAATCAACATGCAAAAACCCAAACGAAAACGGCGATTGAAACCAACACAAAAGCCAGAAAGAAGAATGAGGGAGTCGCGGACAAACATAACAACATAAACCAACAAAAAATCACAAATCGAATCAGTGAAGGAACTGAAAAAACAAATAAAAAGTGGCAAAATTTCCACCCCAATCACACAAAAGAACCGGCAAAAACAAAGGCACAAAGAAACAAATGCAAGATTTCCAGCAAAACGAATGAGAAGAAGCAAATCGGAAGCCAAAAAAAAGAAGAAGGAAAAAGCAGCGATAAAATGGAGGAGGCGACAGACACAAAACGATGGAGGAAGAATACAACGTAAGATGCGAAGACAACGAAATCACAGAGGAAAAGCCAAAAAATTCCCACAAAAACAAAATAACGGAACATAATGAAATGGAAAAAAGAAGTAGGAAAAAAACTTCCAGCAAAAACAAAGGAACAAAACGGAATCAAATGAGAAGAAAATGGAGAGAAAAAAAAAAGCGGGAGCAAAAACGGCGCAGGAGAAAAGAGTAGTAAGTCAACATAGCGCAAAATAAACAATGGAACAAAACGGAATCAAATGAGGAGAAGCAGAGTTCGGGGGTACTGAGAGAGGCGGCGAGATTGGAGTGATCGAAGAAGCTAGAAAGTCCAGGGATTTATGTGGACCAAAATGCCCGAAAAGCCCCCTGCCAATTGAAGGGGGAGAAAGGGCAAAATAGGCAATACACTGTACTATGAACAGTAAAACACCAAGCAGCCCCTGCACGGAAGGAAAGAAGGAAGAGGAGGGGACGAAGGGCAAAAACGTCATTTCACTGTAAAAAAAACAGTAAAATGAGTCTACGTAAACAGTAATCCCAACTCCCCTTTAGATTATTTATAAAGTCACAAATATCCATTTCACACGCTGCAAAAAGAATAAGAAAAAGAAAAGAAGAAAAGGCTCTAAATAATTTTTCTCAATTTCCTTACTCATCAACATTCTATCAAATTCTTTTCTTACTCTTTTCTTGCCAATTTATTGATTAGAAATAGATCTGTGAACTAGAAAATATGAGTCAAGATATGACAAACTTAAAAAAAAAGGACTAATATTTTTTAGAGTGTATAAGTCTAGTTTTTAACCTTTTATTCTTGATTAAGTCAAAAAATTATATCACTCAAAAGGATAATCTAAATAATATCATTCAAAAGTGTATGGATCATGATTTTTACTATTTACTCTTGATTCGTAACATTTTTAGTCAAATAATTACACTAACAAAAGGGTATTTATTAAGAATAAGAGGTAAAAATTCAGACTCATAAATTTTTAAAGATAAATTCTGTAATTTTCTCTACTCAAAAAGGTATTAAAAAAAAGGGTAAAAATTCAAAACTCACTACAAAAATAAGTTCAATAATTTTCTAAAAAAAAAGAAAAAGAAGAGATAAATTGAATACCAAAAATGAGCTCTTGAAGAGTTTCCTATAAGTAATAAGAGAGATGCAGATAACTCAAGTAAATAATTGTTCTTTTGCATTTTTTAGTTAGTATGACTTGATTGATGATCTTGAGTTGAATTTGAATTATAACTTGAGTTGAAGTTGTAACTTGAGTTTGTGTTTGGATGTGCACATTTGAGTTATGATTTGAATTGAGAATCTTTTTGAGTTTGTGTTTGGATGGGTCAAAACTTAAATTTATATTTAGATAGTATTTTACTAAAAACTTAATGGTGATGAAAAATTTTAATAAAGTATATGGGTTGGGTTTTATTTATCTTTTCATTGTGAATGCATAGAAAAAAAAATCATCTCAATCAGAATTAAAACAAAAAAGTTATGACATTTTTAAGAATAGAAAAAATATTGTTCATTAACTTGAGTTCGAGTTTATAAACTCGAGTTGAAGGGGAAACTTAAACTTGAGTTTAGCTCTAAATTCGAGTTCAAACTCGAGTTGTACAAAGAACATGAACTTGAATAAAGTTATAACTTGAATTCAAATTTTTTTTCTGAGTTTTGTTGCAAAATAACTGTTGGAAACCGAATCGGATTCGGATGCGGAAGCGTGGCGGGGAGGCGGATCGTGTATAACAAAAATTTTCATAAAACTTTTGAGATACTCTATAGATTATATTAATTTATGCACGAATAAATTAATCACATTAATTTACATGTCAAGAACTCAATTAGAAAAAATATCTGGAGGCCGACTCGGATGATAACTTGAGTTCTTTGACCACGAACAATCCTTGCTCCGATCTTTGTGTTTAGAAAACCAAAATCTTCCACGTCAATTCCTTGATTCTACGTAGACGTGTGTGTGGGCACACGTGAGATAAAAATAGGTTTGATTAAACACTCGAATTTTCCACAAACACCAACGCATGCACAATGTGACATTTTTTGGGAGAAAAATTGTCCTTCTCTTGCTCTTAGGAAAATTTGGCCAGCCCTCTATTAACTAGGTTAAAAAATTTCATCGCGCGCAATTTTTCATCATCCCTTATTTATAGAGTATAAGTCCAACTTCTAGAAGGAATCAAATCTCTCTCTCCTGTTTGAATTTTGAACAAAAAATTATCCTCTACCTTATCTATTGTGGCCGGCCATATTAGAGATTC